TCTCCACAATAGAGGTCCCTTTTAGGGGTCATTTTCACAATCTCCGCCGAGGACCCCCGCCCTTTGATATTAGGGAGTCCCCCCCCCCGGGACTGATAGTCCTCCTCGGTCCTCCTCGCAGCCGTGTTTAGTTTCGGTCACGCGTCATGCAACTTCTGGTTTTAGTTTCGGTCACGCGTCACTCAACCTCTGTGGAGAGGTTGCGTGACGCGTGACCGAAACAAAACACGGCTGCGAGACTAGCAAGCTGAAGTCCAAATAAAAATCCCAGGATTCTGTGCGCGTTCCAGAAGTGATTAAGTTTTTTTTTCAGTTTTTTAATAGTGATCTTTTCAAACAGAATAGAAACATAAAAGAATACATCGCTTATTCCATGAAAGCGCATTAAATCAGCACGAATGCTAGAATACTAGGAGAAACTTCGGCTCAATTCGGCTCAAGTCGAATAGATAAATAGATATGTCCGTCAGTAGTTGGAGAATAAATTGGGTCAACGGGTCAACGTCTGCTGCACATTAAGGGTCCAATCCAGTTGGTAGAGCATTGCACCAGATTTTTTCTGGCATCTTTTCCAGTAGTATGGCTGCATTCGCATTTTTGAATAATTGTAGTTTCATATTCTCCTGAATATGAATGAAATCTCGGGAATAGTCCACTTCGCGGATAACACAGCTATTAGAAATTGAGCAAATATCAACAAAATATTACCACCACTGGAAAGAACAGTATGAAATTAGTATATTTACCAGGTTTGAGCATGATTCGATGAAAAGTCAAGGAGATACAGCGTTTAAAAGTCGGTAAAATTTACAAAGAAATCTATGGCTGTCGGCATGAGATCGAGGTTGACCTTGACTTGTTACAACCTCGCCAAACATTTCTATGCAAAATTTAGTGTTTTTGAAGTGCCGTATCTCTTTGAATTTAAATCAGATTATTTTCAAACTTGGCAAATTTTCTGATTTTATGACGCTCTTTCCAGTGATGTCAATGATTTACCATAACGACGTAATGTAAAATTTCGAATTATCCGCGAAGTGGACTATTGCAATTTTGAGCGTCATGGCCGCGGGGGTTGAATAGCACCGATATTCCCTGAAGCAGGCGTAAATGCTCGCCCGGACCGATGCGCGCAAATTTATTGATAGCATATGTACTTTTGATAGATCTTATATCAAGGCTACAGTCTTGGAACTGCAACACTTAAGTGGAGTCTAGTTTTTCTTTCTTCCCTGGCGAATTTAGTCAGAGAAAATGGACTTCTTAGAACTTTTGCTTCTAAGAATTCAACTGTGAAATGAAAATACAACGAACAATGAAACTTACTCCCGGGTGGTTTGAATTGGGTTGAAGCCGATTAGGCCTATAACGAAAAATTTGCCGAAGACGACTCCTGATCCGCGACTTAGACTTCCTACTGCTGACACTTTGAAGAATAAATGCAAATCAGAAACCAAGAAGTTTGGCTCATTTCGTGCAACCACATCCCTGGTATGCTTGAATGCAACATAAAATATTCTAAATATGAGGACATCTGCTACTTCCGGAGTTTATTATCTGAACCACAGCCTGATTGTCACAATGAAATACTATATTCTTTGTTTGAAGGAATGTAGCCCATACTGTGATCGCCATGGTTATGGCGTAGAGTTCTTTGAAGGTTATAGAGCGTCTGTTGGGGACGCCAACCCTATCAAAGGTTTCATAGAGCCAATAATCCTCGAAGAGAGCACCAAAAGAAGATGTACATGCATCGGTGTATAAGTGTAAACAGGAGTTCGTAGTCCNATCGCTTGTAAGATTTGTCCGTTGGGTGAGCTGCCATGATCCAAGGACAGATCTTCGTCAGAGTCGGGCTTGAGGCCTTCGCAATGCTTCCCCGGCGGCCCGAAGGAATGGAACGCTTTTGCTGTTTTGCAGCCCGGGCAGAGACTTGATCTAGTCTTCTTCGATGACATTTCGATAGATTTGATATTATTTACAATGAGTAGAACTAGTGTTATAGCGAAATATACGGGAGTAAAATAAACAACGAACGAGGCAAGACGCAACGCGGTATGACACCGGATACACTCGTAACCTTCCCATTCCCCATTAAACTATATTAATTATTAACTAATATCACTAAAATATTCTAAATATACAAGTGATTTGTTGGATAATCTTTACTGCTCATATCTTTATCGAGACCATCAAGAGCCTCCCAGTGGGCAGTGGTCACTGTAAGCATGACATTGATTATGGATTCATTGGAACATGTCCCGTCTTTTCCCTTGTTAAAGTATAAAAGAGATAAAAGACTACTTTTGTTTTTGACCTCATTATGTCCAATATTCTTCTTCTTTTAGGATTAAGATAGAACAATACAATGGATTAAATAATCTTTTATTGAAATTTGAAAGGGTGAAGATGAAGAGTATGGGAAATGAGAAAAACTCAAAGCATGAAATGCTATAATACACTTGCGTACCATATGCAACTACATGTAGCTCTTATCGAAACTCTATATTTAACAACAACAAAATCAACAAACATGCCATCAGCTTTAATATTGTTTTACACCTTTTGCTGGTGAGCTAACTCAAACTTTTTTCCTTCACAATTCCTGAATGGCTTTAAGGAAATTCTCTGCAATAAGTTCAAGTTGAAAAGTATTGCCAATCAAAGGTTTTTTTTCACAGTGGAAAATTCATCGATGACTTTATGAATCGATCTACAAGCAAACTTCTTCTTTCAAAACGAATGGTCAACAGCCTTCTCTCTGGAATGTGTTCAAAATGCTATCCCAACTGGATCTGTTGTAAAATTGTCTTTTTGCAGTGAGAACATTCAATAGGCTTCTTCAAAGCATGCATATTTAAATGATGATTCAAACTTGACTTATTTACAAATGTCTTCTGACAGTCAGAACACGCAAAGGGTGTTTCCCCAGTGCGTATTTTCAGGTGTTGACTTAAATAATACTTGCTTGCATATTTTTTTTACAGTAAGAACATTGATGACATGGTTTGTCTTCAATGTGCGTTATCATAATGTCTTTCCAAATTTCCTTTTATCATAATTTTTTTTTTGCAGTAAGAACATTCAAATGGCTTCTCTCCTGAATGTTTTTTCAGATGATAATACAGCGATGACCTATGTATAAATTTCTTTTTGCAGTGAATACACTCAAAGATCTTCTCTCTATGTCATATCATGTAGTCTTCCCAAAAAGACTTGCGTCTTATTTTTTTGTTACAATGATGACAGTAATATGTTGTTATTGTTTCACTTGGGTGTTTTATTGAGTCTCTTGTGCCAATTTTGTCTCTCTCCTGAAGGATATTGTCACTATTGTCGACATCATTATTGTCAATAGTTAAGTCATTGGTTGTTTCATTATTATAGTTATAATCATTCCAATCTCTTTTGAATGCATGATGTCATGTACATCTTCCTCCTGAAGTATATAGTCCATGTTGACATTACTATTGTTATTGCTAACAGAATTTGTCGATATACTATTATCTTCATCTAAGCTGTTGACATCTTGCTCTTCAAGGAATTTCAGCATAGCATAATTTCATTGGAATCTTTGCTTGTCTCTTTCCTTCCTCCATCACACAATCCATTATCTAGACCAGGTTCATATGGTTCAATATCTAAGTCATCTATAGCTTCATCTAAAACTGGTTCTTGCAGGGGTGGTGTTTTGATAAAAATACCAGCTTTGATGTACATGGAAGTACAGCCATTATCACAACCATCATCATCTGTCTAGTCTGTGTACCAATGGTACATATTTCTTTGTAGATAACTGGCTGACCAATCATGGCACAGTTCAGCTCTTCAGTTGAACACTGGCAAAGGCACAGCCAATCATTTTTTAGACATGGACAAAAAATTATATTTATTATTATTAATTATTCTATTATAAAAGATGTGCCATCATCATCTGTCTGTGTACCAATAGTACATATTTCTTTGTAGATAACTGGCTGACCAATCATGGCACAGTTCTCTTCAGTTGAACACTGGCAAAGGCACAGCCAATCATTTTTTAGACATGGACAAAAAATTATATTTATTATTATTAATTATTCTATTATAAAAGATGTGCCCTGCAGCTCAGGGTATGCAATTGTACCCCCAAATATTCTTATTATAGCAAGCACGTTCGTTAGAAGTGCATTTCACTGATACACCTAGTAACAGGAAAAGAGGCGTATGGTTTTCCTGTGGTGGTACACGGGCCGGAAGATAGGACGGAAGGAGACGTGCGTACGCGCGGGAACCCTGTGTCGATCAATGAAAAATGGACTAGAAATATAACATTTTTCTATGGTGTCCGCTTTTAAATCAAACTTGTTCAACAAGTACTAAATTACGCTAATTCCTTTGTTTTCTTATGTCTAAAGAACACTTAGTTAGTTATTAGGACTATTTGCTTGAGATCAAGTGTTTCCTGCAAAGATACTGCTGACACTCTCAAGGTCATTCCTCCATTCGCCATTCTGCCTTAGTTTCCTCATTCCCCATTAATGGTTTTAGTAGCATCCCAACAAAACTTACTTCTCCAGTAGGCCACTTGTGTTCTCCTGTCACCTTGTTGTAGATATAACAGAGTCTGTCCCGACTTATTACACTTGTATTCTATCCAGTTTTAATTGTGTCCATCTTGTTCAATCTCCGGTGCTTACCTTTTGTATTTCTAGTAATTTATCAAGTTAGAAGCAGTTTGTACTGGAAAATCTATGATTATAAAAACTCAGTCAGAATGAATAAAACGAACCGATTTCAAAATTGTCGAGAAAAGACGGCGTTACTTCATGGCCGCAGTACTGACCGACTCACTGCAAGTAACACAGGAAGCCCGCATATCCGGGATCTTCCTATCGATGTACAACGGACTGTGGGGATTTACGAATGAGCTATGCACGATTTATAAAATTATATTGGCTTTCTTCAGACTTTGGAAGTAGTTTAATTTTTTTAGACTTCAGAAACATTTTGACAAATTATTATTTAAAAAAAAATAATAATTTATTAAAATAACTTTGTGAGGCCTGTATAATTTTATACTCAATTGAGTGAGAAGCTCGCACTCTCGTATGTTCAAGGAATTGCATTAAAAAATTGTTAAAAAATGCACCGATGATTTAAGAAATACCTACATAACGATTGAAAGATGTTGGAAGAATCATTTGGGGGAATAAATCTCGGATCAAAAGTTAGTTTTTGAGGAATTTTATAATCTAAACAGTCTGACAAGAAGAAGAGTACTAAACCTAATAGAAATAAAAATAAAAAAAAAATCCCTCAAAATTAAGCATGCAACTGAATACAAAAATGTCATCACTGATGAATAGAAAATTATCCAATGAATGAGTGATCTTCTTTTAATTAGTACATGCTAATTGATCAAGTGTTCTATCAGGGCCATATCAAAGATGATATATTTGCATATTTTTTCATTAAATGGCATATCATGATAATCATGATTCATAAAATTGTAATTGTATTTTTTCATATTAAAAATATTTATAATTAGATATCACTTAATTTTTTTATTCCAAAGTAATTCATCAAAGATTACAGCAGAAGCTGTTGCATTGTGACTTCAAGGATCAAAAGAAATCGCTAGGATTGAGGTTTTTCTGTGACTTTGGGGTGGAGCTTGCTGCAAATCAGCCAATGACTGAACAACTTCACAAAAAGCTCTGCCTCGAAGTAAAGAACAAAATCAAAACAACTTTGAAATGAATAAGTCAGGATGCAACAATTTTCACTGCTGTAAGCTCTCATATGAGGTGATCTCTAAGATGGTAGAAAATAATTCAAAATGAAATAAAACTTGTGTCTTTAGATATACCTAGGAAACTTTTCTGTACAACTTAAAGAAGCCCACAAAACATGACAGCAAAGAAATCAAAGCCAACTGAGCTGTCATTTTCACACCAAATAAAGTAAAACCTGCCTCACAGCGACAGCAGTAATTCATAAATACATTAACCTCTGGCATTTTGTCAGGCTTCCAGTTTCTATTGATGACACGGTACATCTTTTCAAACCTGGCTGTTACTCTACTTGCCGCAAGGATAGGGAAAGCAAATTTGAATGCAATGAGGAATGAGCCAACAGATTGTGAAAGAATGATAATTGCAATGTTCTCATAATGTTTCTTGCCAGAAAATGCTGTAATCCACTCAAAAGCAACTGAAATAATGATGAACATGAAAAATAAACTATGGATACCAAACCATAGTTTTGTTGCACTCATAATGCTGTCAGTATACGTAAGTAAAGAATCATGATAGTGCCTTGCAAGGAGGTAATTGTTTGCCTTCTTGAGAATAATTTTCTCTGTATGCTCAATGTGACGCACAATATCACGGCAGCAAATATAAAAAATACAACATGCAACAACTACACTGATAAAACCCCAGTATATCATGGACACAGAAAAATAGTACAAACACAACCACAAGTCATGAATATGAGCAGTGAAATCATGAAGACCAGCAAAGTCAAAAAACACATTCAAATCAAAGGCTACATATAAAACAAGCACAACGCTCACAATTCCAAAAAACAAAAATATGTTGACGTATTTCCAGTCATTGCTTTCTGGTCCAACATCTTTCTGGTGTCCCTCTGGCATGTATTCAAAATGTGGTACAAGTCTTGTTTTTGAGTGACTGAAGTTATTGCGCGGGTTATAAAAATACCAAACCATCACAGTGAATGACATAGCTCCTGACAGAGTGAGAGGGATAAGAAGAATCAAAGTTTCGATGGGTATTTGGGGCTTGAACTTTCCCCTCCAAAATGTCTTGATACAGTACAAATGGAAACCAAAAGAACACCATGTTCCAGACATCAGAATCAAAGACCAAATGCTGTTAGCCACCCATTGCCTTGATCGTCTTACGGCTGTTCCTGAAAATGGGATACCATACATCACACTAGCAAATGTTTTCAGGATACTCTCTGATTTCAGAAGACCTGCAGCAAAAAACAATTAATTGTTAAAGCAACACCAAACATTAAAAAAGAAACATTTAAATATTTTGAATACGGACAAAATTATCATTATCGTGGTATTTCACTCAAATGAAGTACAGATTTGCTGTGTTTCCTAGTGTTTCCTGTGTTCCAATCGATCTCTTTTAGGCACAGGAAGCCCACTCGGGGTTCAGTGATTTGAGTACAACACAAAAATTTCGTAGAATTGTTACGCAAAACGCAGTCAATTCAATTGCCACGCAAAACGCAGTCAATTCAATTGCCCTGATTTTCTTTAACTCTACGTTGGTTCTTTTCAACTAATTCGATGTATATTTCTAAACTTTTGCTCAATCTTTTTGATCTATAATATTAAAGCTTATTGTTTCCCAGCGCGGACGATTTTGCAAGATTATTAAGCATTTAACTTGCCGGTAATTGTGCCTGCTATGCATGTATAAGCTTCATTAAAAACTTACTTGGAATTGAGACCATCTCGAATAAAATTTAATCGATTTGGTGATCTACCCCTAACGCCAATTTAGAGCAAAGTCGACAGAAGCTTACAGAGTAAAATAATGAGCCGGGTCTACCGTAGCTCTGAAATTCTATCCCGAAGAATTTACCCCTTCCCATGAAGCTAAGCGTGAGTTTTCATTACTTTACTTCCGGTTTGAGGATCGACATGGCTGAAAAGCAGGTGTGTTTTGTGTAATTTATTGAAGTACCTATTCACTAACTATTTCTACCTATTCACTCTTTTGAATGAACGTCGTCTTGAACACTTTGTGAGCTAGAAGGATGTTTGTTGTATTTTGTTCAGTCAGTTTTTTTGTTGATTCATTGTTTTTTCTGATACGTACTTTGACTATATAATTGTCACATGTTCAAAATGTAGGTTATTAAGCTTGCCATCAGTACCTCCTGGAATGGAAAAAAGCTAGATCATGATCCTGTTGGATTCTACATTAGTGCTAGTGCTGATGGGGCATCAATTAAATTGGAAGTTAAAGCGCCTTTCTTCAATGACCCAGGATGCCCCCCTTCTCCTGCTGGTCCCTGTGATGAGCTATGGGAATATGAAGGTAGGGATTTTACTTTATCTATTTCAGAATAGTTGGGAAGATATACTGAAATGAAAGCATGAAATACACCATTTTAATAAGTCCCTTGGTATTGACATCAAATTTATTCTTTTGAAATTTTCACATACAAAAGGAAATCAAAAGAATAAATTTGACGTCAAGTGCAGAGAACACAATATCTCAGGATTATTAAAAGGGTGTATAGCATACCAATTATTTCCATTTGCTCTTTGGTTGTAAGTTGACCACAATATAGCTAGCTTACTATTAACAATTAGATCTCGAGGGCAAGTGGACTACAAGCTGATAGCCCATGAGACCAAAATTCTTTTAGTATTACCATACTAGTTGGACAAAAAATGAATGAAATATATAAATAACTGAGTGTTTTTATTGCTAAAAATACACAAAAAGTTGTTGCATTTTTGCTAGTCGATGACTATTGAAAATAGACCCCAAGTTACATAGCCAATCAGAACGAAGGATTTGCAATAGTCCACTAGTATGGTAATACTAAAAGTGAATAGAGGCAATAATCATGCAGGCAATAATCACAGCATAAGGCCCTTGACAGTGCTACATAGTTCTAAATAATCTTCTTAACAAAGACTAGAGGAGAGCCATGTAGGGGCTTCTCTGGAGACCCACTTATAGGGCTTCTAGTGTCTAGCACTCTTTTGGGTGGGGGGGAGGGGGATGAAGACTCTGGGGGAGACCATAAGTCTTTGGCTTCCTTTAAAGGTATTTTTACAATTTAGGACAATCAACCCTTCCTAGATTTTGGGGAATCTCCCCACTTCTCTCAGCTTTTTATTGTACTAAATTGCATTTTTCTATCTCAGTGGCTGAAGTATTTTTTCTTGGAGAGGATGATAGATATCTTGAAGTAGAACTGAACCCGTGAGTTGATATAGGAAAACAATTAATATTATAAATATGATTTTATAATTAATTGATAATTAAAGATAATTGTCAATTTCTATGATCATATCAAATATTGTTTTGTTCATTATCTCCAGTCATGGTCATCACCTGGTATTATTGCTAGATGGACAAAGAAATATGTTTAAAGTAAGCAAGCACAATCATAATTTTTTTAATTTATGAGTCCCTCAGGCCTTTAGGGAAAGAGTAGAGGCCAGATGTGGATTCCAACATGGGTCATTTATTTGTAGGCACCTTTTACTCAAATCCAGTACAGACCAGTACAGCTCTATCACAGACATTTTGATTTTGAGTACCTGTGACAAGATTACCCATGTATTAAACAAATACTTTAATTATGCTTTGAACACTTAAGAGCTAAGCAAAAATATAAAAAAAATTCATTGAAAATCATTAGGAATTGATTTTCAGATATGGTAGGGCATTGGGCTGTAATGCCAGATATATTTTTCTGTGTAAGCACTTTAAAAATATATATATCACTATAAGGTATTTAATTGGAGGGTTGTTGGTTTGTCACCATATTCATTTAATGGTCCAATGACATCATTGTCTTCATCATGAAGACTGAGATGTTCCTCATGATCATCATTCTCATTGTCGGATGAGGAACTCTCTGATATTGATGCATCTCGGCCTTGGGATCAACTTTTGAGCTTTTTGGTGGCCTCGTAGGCCATCTCGAGTCTAGTTTGACAATGGTAGGTCAGTATCGCTAGTATATGGGTTGGGCTCTTGCAAGTTTTCACAAATCTTTTCATATATTCCACCATATCCACCATTGTTATCTGCATTGAGTCCAGGTATCCATCAGGTTTGGGCCTGAGGACATAAGAAGCATTGTTCTCTGATTTGACTGATCTGTAAGCTGTAATTAAACATTTTGTACAACTATTGTAGCCTCTGATGATTGTCTAATTTGTGAAAGTCAAAATTGAATTGTAACTATATAAAGACAAATATTGAGAAGGAGGGTTTGGAAGGAAGGAAAAAAATGCATTGAGATTTGCCAACACAGGAAGACCAACACAAACACTTTTTTTAAAATGATTTGAGTTGTAAACCCCACTTCCCTCTTTTAAGACCTGACCTATTTTGTAATAAAGGGGTGGTGAAAGAAATTATAAAGACTTTATTTTATTTGTTTTCAATGGAAGTAAGTCATCATTGGTCTCCCTGTGGTAATTAGAAAGAGAGAGACTAAGTAAGATATCTAGTCACTTAACACAGGAAGTCTAGAAACCATTGGTTTTGTATAAATTTACAGGACAAACTTGATATGGACTTTTCAGCCAAAATAGATAAGGAGAACAAGACTTGGACAGGGTCTGCATTGATCCCATTGGAGTACTTTCCACCTTGTGTAGTCAAAGCTAATGCCTTTGCTATCCATGGCTCTGATGAAGAAAGACAATATGAAGCACTCTACCCAGCTGATGATAAATTCTCAACACCCGACTTGTGAGTACATATTCAATTCTAACAGCGATTTTGTTTTGGGGGGGAGGGGGGGCTAGAAGCGAGGAGGTGCTAGGGGGGTCTGAAATTTCTGAAATCTTGACTCCCGGAAATGCCATTTCCAGCGTCACTGAGGCGTTATCCAAGACATATTAACCGCAGACACGGTCAGAGATATTATCAATAAAATAAAAAGACTTCATAAGGAGGCTCTTCGCTTCTTTATTCAAGAAAATTCAAAATGTCGGAAATATTATTCCATCTGATATTCAATGGTTTACATAACTGAACCACCCTTAGGGTAATAGGCACAATATACCAAGCTATTACAGGAAAGGACGTTGCAAGAAAACAGTTTCAACTCTTAAAGATACTATTAACTAAAAGTTGACAAATTCATATTTTTAAGCACTTTTAACAAATACAGCCTTTTGCAAAAATTATGAGAATTGTTGAAATATCTAAATATCATAATATCGAGTGCATGATGGGTAATCCCGCGCGATGCCCTTAGTCCCTTGTCTTTGTAGTTTAGTTTTTTTTTTGGCGACAGACTTATCCGTAGTTCTGAACATTCTCGATGTCAACAATGAATTATTCTAGCAAACCCTCGTGTTCCAGACAATATATGGATATGGATATTATGATATTTAGATATTTAGACAATTCTCATAATTTTTGCAAAAGGCTGTATTGTTCAAAAAATATGTAAACCCTAAAGATACCAGAACCCTGATTTTTAACCCTAAAAGATGCGACGAACATCCACACCCCTCCATATATCCGGGGATGCACTACTGCACTTCCTTACCTGCCGTATTGCCAATCTTTAAAGCACTATTTGTGTCTTCAGTCACAGGTTACAATTCTTCAAAGAACTTGACTTCAAGTCAATGTTTCCATCAGACTGGACACAGCCAGTGTCTTCTTTGTGGTCAGAAAGAATAACAACAAACTAAAAAACAAATGTAATGACAATAAATTTTAAAGTAATATTCGGAGAGTTGCAATTGTGGCATTCTTTTGGGGGAGAATCGGGATTTGAATAATGAATGCTGAACACCATCATCTCCCTCTCAAAGTTTTAAATATTTATATTACTTTATAATAGTACGAACACTGATTAGCCCAAAAGAGCGTGGCAAATGGATTCACTATACGAATTTTCCTCTTCTTTTCGACCATCTTAGTGATCGTGCTGTTAGTATAGTTGGTATTGGAACATCTCTTCTCTTTTTCATAATTTAATCCCTGAATCTTTGGGTTTTTTGAGCTTATGTCAGTGTGAACGTCTCCTTCTGCTAATATGTTATCCCCGCTCACAAGCACACAAAACTGTGCGTCTCCTGTTTTTGCTTATATATATCGTGGTAATGAGCCGAAACTTACTAGGAAAATGATTTTATGCAATGTATAGCGCTGGGTTCGAATTATCATGATTGCTGTAATTGAAAAACAATTTTCCACGCAAAGTAAACATGATAAACCTTGGGACTTTTCTATGTGTACATCAACGCCATGTACACTGACCATATATGGAAGCCATGCGCGACAGAAGTCTTCTCAATAATATGCAGGAAGTAGATGGTACTGAGCCATTAAACATGCATTAAATATTTCTTGTTGAACGACCCACGAGTGATATCAAATCAGCCGACATTATTGTTAGTCGACCAATTACATGATGTATATATTTCGAATGTAGGTTTTGACGCTTTTTCAGTGTTTAATTTTATCTTTCAAGCATGTTTGGTCTTACGTGCCCTGATTCGGGGGCGACTGTAACTTATAAACGTTTCGATCATTGATGTATCCGGTGACACTATCTTTAGACCAATGCAAAGACTGTCACCCTTATTATTAGGAAGTCTCCTACTTTGATCGATTGATATGTTTATTTTTTGTAAATCTTAATGCAAATAACGTTAGGCGAGTAAATGTTTTAATGTTTGGTCGAGAATATGAGGCCTTTATTTCAAGAGAAGTCATCACTCATCACTCAGATTACAAATATAAGAAAGAAATGAAAAGAAAAATAAAATTTAAATAATAAGAAGAGACGAGGAAGAAGAGGACAAAAAAACCCTGTTAAATTGGAATTGTTGTGGGTTTCTTCTAGAAGTCTTTTCGGAATTTATTGTATTGCGAATTCAGTTTAGTAAAATGCTTAATAACTAAATACGCAGAAAACCCTGTAAAATAAATAAACTTTTAACTTTAAAAGAGACAATTGACAAGTGAGGACGCAATTGTGTTGAGGGTTTCTAGATCTCTAAATAGATTTTAATCGTTAAACATGGCTGCACGAAGCATTGTTTATAGTCTTTGATTTTTGTGTTGGTTTTGATGTTAACGTTAAAAGTCACAATTTAAAATACAATGATGTTTTAATTTTTCTAATAAAACATAATAATAAATTAAAAAACAGGCTAAAAGGGTGAATGCAGTAGTCATTCCACTTTGCCATGCCATTTTCTTGATCTCTAGCCTCTCTCACAGGCGTTCTTAGTCTCGCCACGAAAAAATTCACTTGCCACGAGGCTATTTGATCGAATTTGATCTCTAGTGCAAAAAAAAAAAATCTACTGAATAGTTGTGTGTAATGGGCTTATAACATACATGGGAAAACAATGTATTTATTTAAAGAATATAATAAGTGGTGTACATTAGTCTAATATTGAATTTACAGTTGTAATGCTTTCACTACCACAATTATTATTTTTAGATATGTGCCAGTTTACCATTTTATATCTGCTCTTTTAATATATAGCTTGTAAATTTCTTGAATTCTGATTGGCTGACACGCGGTCCGCCCAGAGCTGCATTGGACCGTTGCTATGGTATCAGTCCAACTTCCATGTTTCCGAGGGAATCAAGACAACTTTTTTATCAGATTTGAGATTTTCTTTGCAATAAAAAAAATTCAAACAAAATCCATTTTTTTAATGATCTGAAAGAAAGATGGTTCAATGTCAACTACGCCTTTTTGTCCGCGCTCGCGTCTTATAGCACTTGACTTTCCCGCTCTTTTCCGAGTTGACCGTACCATGAGTTGTTTTCAATGCCAACGGCATCAATCCAGCTAAGAAATACTCGATAAGTATTCAACACAATTTAAAGATAGCCCAAAAAGGAATATGTTGGAAGAAAAAACTCAATGAACTCAATGTCAAGTTGTAAAAGCTCAAAAGAAGTCAGAACATAAGTGCACAAACTACTCAAAACTCAAAACAAAAGTGAAAAGCCGAAGGGATTCAAACCGGTGTCTTCGCAAGAATCAAATCCTCCTCTTATATAGTCTACTTTGCTCGATTCAATGACTCCTCGGTTGCTGGAAAAGAAAGAAAGTTGTAATTCTATATTGAGAGACATCCACTCCGATGATTTTTGAGATGTAAGAAACTGAAAACACAAGAAAATTTTGATTCAATGTGAGTTCGTTCAAAAGCCAAGCTTATTACTGAAAACAGCTGAAAACAATTCGTTGTTTGCCAGCGTAATCCCTTGTGGTCAAGTGCGCTTTACATTTGCAGCTATAGTCGAAGGGTTAGGTTTAGGGAAAAGGACGGGTAAGGCTATAAAATATTAAATTCATAATTTTAATTTGATAATAAAATTTTTAATAAGTTAAGGTGTAGCTAAAAAGTTCGAATAAGTCGACAAAAATATTCAAGTGAAAAAGCTTGTTAGGTGCTTCTATTCGCTTGTTAGGTGCTTCTATTCGCTTGTTAGGTGCTTCTATTCGCTTGTTAGGTGCTTCTATTCGCTTGTTAGGTGCTTCTATTCGCTTGTTAGGTGCTTCTATTCGCTTGTTAGGTGCTTCTATTCGCTTGTTAGGTGCTTCTATTCGCTTGTTAGGTGCTTCTATTCGCTTGTTAGGTGCTTCTATTCGCTTGTTAGGTGCTTCTATTCGCTTGTTAGGTGCTTCTATT